ATAGTCGGTCTCTCTAATGCAGGACATGGAATATTACGCTGACTGATATGAATGAAGGGGCCTGAATGATCGCAGACAGGATACTAAACCTCTGAAGAATCACTAGCCAATTCTGGATTGCGTTTACAAACTTCTTCTGGCATTTACAATGGAAACTTGAATTTTGTATTTGTGCGTTAGAATCCACAGTTTCAATACCATCCATGAATTTCCTGATTTTCCCCATTATTGCAAATGTCTTGAAAGTATCATTAAGAGTTTTAAAAAGGTCAATGTATTTAGGACCATAATCTATCTCAGCAGTATCAATATGCAGTTAATTATTTTTAGTTTAAAAACATGATTGGTTATTTCAAGTTACACAAATAGATTATCACTAAGATTAGTTTCAATTAGCTTTAAATCATGAACCCTATAAAGAAACCCAACATTTATTAAATTCTGACATGGACTAAACTTCTTCTCATATTGTGAACTTTCATGTACAGATAACAATTTTTGTATTAACACATACTGCAAAATTTTAGATTTATTTCAATGCTTAGGAACTCTGCCTCTGGACTTAGTCAAGTGAAGCGGCTGCGGCATTTATGAAAATCCTGTAAAAGGCAGTATCTAATAAGGCCTCTTCCCAAATTCTGCCCTCATTTGTAAATTACACAGGGAGGAAATTTTATACAGGTAACATTAGATTGATGAAACCTCAGCCTATAAGAAGTAAAAGTAAACTTAATCACTGGAAACATTATAGCAAATTGCATGGTAAAATTATAGCATGTCAAAAATGCCACCCGAAACTCAATACAGCAAACAGAAGTGAAGATTCTTTTCTACAATGCATAGCTCATGAATAAATTCAAGTTTTTTGGGGGGGCTGTGTCATCACAGGCAATGATAGGGCTCTGTGGTGCTGATTATCCAACAGACAAATAGTACAAATGCGACGACGCTGCATATCACGGCTAGTTATTAAAGTTCCAGATAGGCCTCAAATTCATGTTGCCCTGTGTCTAATGCCATGCTGATCAAAAATTGGTTGTTCACAGTTAACACCATTATCTTCCTCAGAGAAAGATTTTTATATTACAGATACTTGGTTAAGAAGGAAAAAAAACCAATATGAACACCAATCAGGTAAGTCCACATTTAACTCTCACCGTAAACCTGTGAGATGGACATTTCTATGCTCATTTTTCAGTTATGAGGCAGTGTACTCAGGACAGGGCAGTCAACTGCCAAACCCGGCTCTGTGGACCTCCAAAGATCCTTCTATCCATTAGGCTGCGAGGCTCCAGGTGGAGTGACCACTTCCAAAATTTTCAACAAAAATGTCCCATCACAAGAAGCATTATACTGCTTTTTTGGAGGGGTAGGAAGGATTACGTGGGCTTTTTAATTGTGCAAAGATATACATAGTGTTAAAATTCCATAAAGTGATATGACAGTATATAAGTTATAACTAATGACAATATCACATTCCTTCTCCTGAAACAGGAAAGAAACTATTTCACAAGGTTGTTGGGAAGGCTGAGTGAGAGGATGCTTTTGCAATATATAATTATATACTAGTAGACTAATGAAGTAAATGAAGCACTTTTCAAATGCTGACTGCTACTTGTAGCTCTCACTACAAGTCCTGTCTCTGGGTATGCAAACACACATCAGTGCCCTGCCTACGTGTTTCAGTACATCCCTGAAAATAGTTAAAATTTTGTTACACATATTGGGGCATTCTCATATATGACCACAGCAAGAGAAAGTACTACTATATGGAAGGGGAAATAACTTTACAGAATCCAATCAGAAATTGACTCAGTAAAAGGAGTATTAGCTTTTTTCTTATCTATTATAATGTAGTGTTTTTCAGTAAAAGATGATTTAGATATCTAGTCATAGAATATTTTTTTAGGGTAAAAGAGAGATACCAATACTGTCAAAATTCTTCTGTATAGTAAAATCACCCTTTTCTAAGAGAGTCAAACTAAAATTCCTCCTAAGTAAACAATTTGGCATATTCCTTGTGCTCAGTAAAATGAATTTTTAATCACAAAAGATTCTACACTATTTCTATGAAGTGTATGTCCATTGAGAAGGTGCAGGGAAAAGTGAGGAGGAAGTAAAGAAGGAACACTCCCTTCCCTTATTAATATACTATTATGTGGTGGGTGTTAGACTGTGTCTTTGCCTTCCATGGGCTCTCCTCTTTCTGTTTACATTACCAACTTTGTGTTAGCAAGAAAAGGAGACAGTCGTGAAACTTTCCAAGTACCTAGTGTAAAGTATGTACACAGTACGCCTTAAACATTTAATTACAAGAATGTGACTTATATACTGGCTCCCAAAGCTCGTAAAATGCAGAGCTTCACAAGTTATTACGCAAGAAACTGTGTTGAAGGGGGCATAAATGCTGGTAAACAGTGAATCAACTTCCTTGGAATAACTCTAATGTAGTAAAGAAGCTCAAAACAAGACCAAATAACTCAAAAACCCCTTTAAGAAAATAACTGATTATTAATAATGCCACAAACTAACGAAAGTTTGTAGGCTTCTTCAATACTGTAACTGGTGACTGTAAGAACCAATTCTAATTTACTGGGAGTGTCGGACTGAGTGGAAAATCTGTCGCCAACAGTGGTTTGTTCCCATGTATTTTTTTTTTTTTTTTGGAATCTAGCTGGTTAACATTTTTTGGAGTCACGTTGCACTTTAGATTTTTTCATGACAGAATGTTTGGGAGGCACAAACTGAGAAAAGCACTCAAAAAGTTAACCTTGGAAAAAGGTCTAAGGCATAGATTATGAATACGAGTACTTTTGTCAAAGAAGTCCTGAGTGATTTTCCCAAACAAGATTTCTGACATCATTCAAAAACCAGATGCAATAGACTTTAATTTTTCATGTAAACTAATCATGGAATGCCCTTCTGGCCAAAGCAGCAGATATTTGAAACATAAAAAAAGCTTTCTGGCAGCCAGACCGTAGACGCCCCAGTGAATGTTTTCCCTCAAGATAAATAAGGCCGTGGCAGCTGCTGCCTCCACTTCACACCCCTGCCCGTATGAAACACGCACAAAGTGTTGAATGGAGCAGGCAGCTTCATTACGGGAGGAGGTTTGTTTTTGCTTCTTAAAAGGAAAAAGTTTTGGCTTAAAAGAAAACCAGCTTTGCAGCAACCATTTACAAAGGTATGTATGTGTAAAAAAATACAGCTTGAAAATGAAACCTACAGTGTCCTGGGCAGAATGTATTCTCCAAAAAGAGCTCTTGATTCTCGAACTTAAATTTCCAAATGCGAAGAAATTAGTTTTCCACTATAATAGTCCTCGCAAGCAAGTTGTGACAACCTTTATATGTAAGGTCTATATATTTTTTACCATATTCTATTTATGTTGTAATTACATTAGAAATGTCAAGGCAAACGAGACTTTAATTATACAAATCCATTTCTCCTTGATATCTAACTGCAAAAATAATTTTAACACTTGTGTCATATAATTGAACAGTAATCGAAACTTTAGAAAATGCATTTTGCTTGTCAATTTTCCTGTGTTTGGAACTGTGCTGCCCAACAAAGCCTCCCCCTGCCATGATGGTTGAAGGTTAAAAGCTATTCTAATATCGAAATTCTATTGACACCTGAACCACTGAATAAAAACGGCATTGGTTTAGACCAAGAAAAAGCACTTTAACATTTCCTAATAAAGGGGTTAGAGATAATAAAAGGGCTCTATGGGAGAGATAAAAAGAAACAGTTACATAAAACCAAGAAAAATATAGTAGTTGTATTTAGCATTTGAAAACCTTTTCAAAGTGGTGAATATCTATGATAGTGCAGTGATAAAGTTCACTTGAATGGCCAAAATATTTCTCAACATAAAACAATAAAAGATGATTCTATTCTAGAGTAATACTCAGCCATCCACTTTGAAAAGTCACAATTACAGTGGAAACTCACACAGAAAGTCCTCCAGATATTTCAAAATCATATCTTCAAACCAGTAATCACATGAAATTCACGGGGAAAATTCCAATTCAAAATATAAGGAATTTGTTCTCTTAAAAAAACATGTAATAGCTAAACTAATGATTACTAGTAAAAGAAAGCTCACCGATGAAACTTTTCATCCTATTATAAACTATGAAAGCTGCAGAGTCATCATTTGCCTAGTGGGGTTAGCAGCTGTTTTTCTGTACTCCATTTACTGAAAAGGAGCAAGCAAGGATATAGGAGCAATAAAGGCCAAAATCTGTTCTAGAGCATCTGTTTCCACAGCTGGAGACAGAACACTTACTATTCTATGTACAGCATCCCAGATTAAACACTAGAGCAGACAGGGTGAAGTTGTAGGCCATGCAATCTGACCATTAACCAGCCTCCAGTCAGTGTCACCTAGCTGAGACCCAACAGCCCATCTGGTTCAAAAATGCATCTCCTACTGTCCTACCCTTCTTCAGTATTCATGGGACCCAAATAAAGAGGGTAAATGCTAATGACAAGTGCCAACCCTCCACAGCAAAAATGCCACCAGGAAGAATTGCTCACATTTCACATACTCTTTAGTTTTTGGCGATATTCTCTTGCCTGTATTAGAATTACTGTAAAGAGAAGTGTTGTCAGCCTATATTTGCAGGCAGATTTTAAATGAACTTCCAACATCAACATGCTGGGGCCTGGCAGATTAAAATAATAAATGTTTAAATGCTTTTATGCATAAGGGGAAATAAGGAGGGGGTGTTTGGATTTTCAAAACTGAGTTGTTGGAGTTTGAGGACCTAAAGAAAAGTTATTTTCTGAAATGCTAACGAGTTTCATGGACCTCTACCAAACAGCAGAGCACAAATCAGCTCTCACAACTCGGCCCAACTTCAGTTACGCTGCCCCAAGCTGGGAAGCTCCTGGAGGGAATCGGATGAAATTTATTTTAATTACGCCGCTGAATAAGCTGTCTGGGCTTGAATTAGCCCTTTCTGTCCCTCACATGGGAACACAAGCTAACTTACCGGCGCTCCAGCCAAGGTAGAGCCAGGGTTGGTGGCGGTACTCTCCTTGGGATCCTCATGAGATTCCTCAGGTCCGCGAGTCACAAGAATTCTGAAATGCTGCTGCCCCGCATTTTGATCCTGTCTGATCTTAAACGTGCAGCCCTGACCCTGTGGCGTCCTTTCCACGGAATTCGTCCTGTGGATTTCGGGAGCCATCCTGCGGCCCCGGGGCGGCGCCTCCAGGTGACCCCGCTCTTCCACGGGGCTGCTGTGCTCTGCTCGGGGCTGTGTGGGGTACGAGGTGCTCCTCTCAAGCCGGATGCGGGGGTACCGCACCAACCGGTCCCCCTTCGTGCCCGTGAACCCAAAGTTGAAGTCACCACCCATCCCCTGTGTGCCTGGTGGTGGCTGCTGCAGCTGGAAGACAAAGCACCGCTTCCCAGAACCTCCAGAAGCATCTGGTACGTGCTGCAGGGACCAGCGCCTGGGCTCCGGAGTCGAAGGGCCGCACAGGCCATCGGCCCCGAAGGGCGGCGTCAGCCTCACCTGGCGCACGTCGGCGCTGGAGGCCCGGTGCTGGATCCGGAGCCCGCTGCCCTTCGGTCCCCGAGGCTCGGCCTCCTCGTGGCCATCCGCAGGGACAGGACTCCGTGCTAGGTGGCCACACAGGCCGTTAACTTGGGGGCCTAAACCCCGGGTGGCTCTGGGTGGAGAGTTCTCTGGGGTCTGGGACTTGGGGGGCTCCGCACAGCGGCCCAGAGACACAGACCCGGCGTCGCAGTCCAGACCCTCGGGTGGCCCGCAGGTGTCCGGCGCCCCGTCGGCCGCTTTGCGCTGCAGCGAGATCTGCATGGAGGAGCTGCGCGTGGGCCGCGCCTCCGTGGGGCTCAGGAGCTGCGGGATGAACATGGATGTGCTGCGCTTGAGCGCGCCCACCGCCTCCTGCAGGCCTCCGTCTTCCGCGCGGTGGGCGCAGGGGTGAGCGCCGCTCCTCCGCGGCAGGGTGTGGAATGCCATGAAAAAGTCGTCTTCTCTCTCCTGGTCGAGGATCTCCGATTCAGGGGCTGTGTTGCTGCGACTGGAGCCAAAATGAAACCGAAGCCGATGGGCCATGGTGCCCAGGGGGGCAGGGAGGGAGAGGACCAGCGGTGACAGCACGCCCGGCACTGCCAGAAGTCAAAAACCGAAGGCACAAACTCCAAGGAAAAGCGTCCCATCTGCCAAACCTTTAGCACTGCGGCACCGAGAGCGACAGATAGCAGAAATAACCCAAGTGGCAAGCAGCATTCCAGGCATGATTGGGTAAGAGCAAAAAGCTCTCATCCACACTGTGACAGAGGGTAGGGTGGCTAGAACCACATGACCGCCGTCTCCCCCTCCAATGCCAGCTTGTGGACTTGGTGGAGTTTCCCCCCGCTCGCGCTCGCTCGCTCTCGCTCTCTCTCTCACTCTCTCTCCTCTCTCTCTCTCTAAACAGCAAGAGCCTGAAACACCACCTTCCCAGCTGCTGCTTTTTTTCCATCAGACAGGAGTGGCCCCAGCAGGGAGCTCTCACAGCTGACTGGGGCAGCAGACACACTCCGAGCCACGCGGCTGTAAATCTGCCCGCATCTCACTCACAGGACAGTTCTTTCCGAACGAACGCAGCAGGCACTGGGCGCTCTAACCAACGCGAGACCTGGCACTGACAGCACCAGCACACACGGTATTTCCCCACCTCCTCGCAGGACCGAATGACAAGCAAAACTGCCTTGGCTCTAGGAAAACCCTTTCACAAGCCTCGGAGGTTATGCTCCTGTTATTTATGATATCACCACACTACCCGGATGGAATGCAAACTAATAAAAGGTACTATAAATACAGTTACACACTCCGCAGAATTGGTGTCCCTTTAATGCTAAATAATTAGACCATGATCTACAAGTCATAAAATAGCTAAGGGCAAGGGGCACAAATATTCACACTGCCAGTGAGTGGTCTGCCGCCTGTTACTATAACCCTTTTCGGTTAGAAGGGAGGGTGAGTGTGTGTGTGTGTGTGTGTGTGTGTGTGTGTAACTCTCACATGATACGATATGCTGTCAGAGAGGGAAGTACCAGAGAAGAGACCCAGCTGGAGAAAACATTTCTCCCATATGCCAGATAAGGGGAAAAAACAATTACCCCCCCCCCCCCAACCAAAGGAAGGAAAATTGAAGAAGGGTGAACATGTGCTTTTTGTACTAAGTTAACTTAAATATCATACAGAATAAAAGCTGTCCAGAGCCAACTTTTCCAGTGAGAAGTCAACAATATCAACATGGTTGGGATACTAGCATGGAATCTTGCTATTTCTATAAAGGGCCAAAAAGGAGCTGAAAAAGAAAACTAAAGGTCCACATTAAAAAAGGCTGTCATCAGATTTGCACACTTGGATATATTCTGGGTGTTTTAAATGAACTATTTTCTGTGATCCAGAAACACTGGTTATTTAACAAAGAGGTTTATTTAGGAAGGAGTAAAAAAAACAAAAAAAACAAAACAAACAAACAAATAAAAAAATGGAGGGGGAAATACCAAGCTGCAAAGAGTGAAAAAACGTTTATTTTAAAATCCGCAAAACATGGCTCTGTAGTTGAGGGCATGGGGGATTAAACCTGTGTTTACATACATGCAAACCTGTTTTCCAAAGGCATGAGTTTTAAACGCTAGAAATGATCTCTACGAGAGAAATGGAAGCTAGTTTGTTTAATGCTAAAACTGCCAAGGTCCACCCTAGCTGGTTTGGCTCAGTGGATAGAGCGTCAGCCTGTGGACTGAAGGGTCCCAGGTTTGATTCCGGTCAAGGGCACATAGTTGTGGGCTCAATTTCCCAGTTGGGGATGTGCAGAAGGCAGCCGGTTGATGAATTCTCTCTAATCATTGATGTTTCTATCTCTCCCTTTCTCTCTGAAATCAATAAAAATCTTAAACAAACAAACATAAAAAAGAACTGCCAAGTATCACCATAGTCATGTATTCTCTTAGCTGGATTAATGGCCAAAGAGAAAAACACCAGCATAAAAAAAACAACAACAACAAAAAAAAAACCCAGACATTCACCGCACAGTAACGACACTGCAGATGGCCTGGGCAAAACTAGGTATTAATATAATCAAAGAGTTAACCAGATAAAGTTTGTATTCACACAGGATTTTTTAGAGCTCTGCATTCAAAGCCTCTGAGTTTGGAATATATTTGGGCCCCATGGCAAGGTCATCTCAACAAGTCATTGTGTTAGATAATGGGAATGAGAAACAAATTTCTTAAATTCTCTTCATAGAAGAAAATTAAGGCATGAATTAAACACATCTAACAGACAATTTTTCCTCAGATTTGACCCTTCCTTCACCTTAAAGAAGTGTTATTATACTCAATAAATGAGAGACTAAGGATTAGTCTGTGATTGCATCTGTGACTCCAGGGACTACTGTCATTTTACAGAGCACTGCCTCACTCAGTCTTTGCTGGATGAGAGAGGGGGTGCTAAGGCCTCCACCCTCAGCAGACTCTCCCATTCAATTACAAAAGAAAATAACTTCAGACACACGGCAAAACTGATTTAGTTGTACAGTACAACTAACTACCACTCAAGGTAAGAAAAGGCTGAGTTCCATGCAAAGCCACCAATAACCCAAATACATTTTTAATGGAAAAGACATCAGGATGGTAGGTCAGAATATGTTGATTCTCTAATTTGGAAAATAATAGCAAACACAGGAGATTAGACACACAACCAAATTCTATAATCGGGGTGAAGAGTCTGGCTATTTGCCACTACTGGCCTGAGATGAGGGAATAGCAGTTTCCACCAGGGCACTGCCCGACTGCCTATCTAAATCATGTCCGGGATCTAGACCTCACCTCTCAATGCCAAGGTCAGGGAGTTAAGCCAGTTGTGTTATAAGGCTTCTCCAGACCAAATATTCTAATCTCGAGCTACTTAAAATTTTATGTAGTTGAATTCTGCATCAGGAACGCTTCATAAGAGCATTCATTTTAACAACCCTACCCCCTAAAACAAACAAAACATAAGTTTCAGGGAAAGTAGACTTGAGTGATAACTGACTACACTGAATTATAATACCTCCTCTGAGAGTACCTTAAGCTGACACATAGCCAGGCCGGTGTGGCTCAATGGCTAAGCATCGACTCAGGAACCAGGAGGTTGTGGTTAGATTCCCCATCAGGGCACATGCCCGGGTTGTGGGCTCAATTCCAAGTAAGGGGAATGCAGGAAGCAGCTGATCAATGATTCTCTCTCATCACTGATGTTTCTATATCTCTCTCCTTCTCCCTCTAATGGCCAAAGAGAAAAACATCAGCATTAAAACAACAGATATTCAATCCATCTTTCAAACCATCTCTGAAATCAACACAAAAATATTTTTTAAAGCACTGGCACATAACTGAAAGTTCATTTTCGTAGTTGGAACACTTGACTCATGGGTACTTGATGTTTACATTCTAATTAGGTAACTGGCAAAATGCTTCAAGCCAGATTTGCTTCTGAAATTCATTTCTAAAATGGAATCTTAGTTTTATCACACACACATTTATAGATATATACTATATCTCTATCTTATCTATCAATCTCTATATAAAATGCTAGTTTGTATCAGTCTAATGCCTCAGGCATATCTTTAGTTCTTTAACGGTACTTTCTACTAATTTCCCTTGAAAAAGTATCACTTTTAAAATACAGCTTAATTTTACCTGCTAAATATAGATTCACTTTTTGCTCTCTACTGTTAATTAGATTTAGATTTCCCCAAGGAGGGTCACAATAGATTCATTGTTAGATAAGTGATAGTATTGCAGACTGGCTTATATTTAAAATCCCTGAAAGGTTTGTTTATATGAGCAATGGTCCCTTTACAGATTTGCCCATCATTCTGTATTCCCAACAGAGTGTAAGTAAGCATATGGTTTGATATATCATCAGTGTGACTTTCACTAATATTAGTATGATAAAAACATTTACATATACAAATAAAATTTCTCCTAGCCATAAAAAAAAATTGGTAGAATCATGCTTTTGTAATGGAACAAAAATAAAGCCATGGGTTAGGAGCATATATACTGTCAGAAGTACAACATAAACACCATTTTAAAAGCAGTTGCTTTATAAATAATTTTTTTTAAATGAAGCAAAAATAAAAACTGAAACCCACTTACCAATCTGTTCTCATCAAATACTTCAAACAGGAGTCTGTGATTAGATGGGTTAACCTACAGAGACATAAATGGTAATTCAGAATGGGCAGAAACAATTGAGAGGATGAAATAAGAGAGAACGAATGGAATGCTTTATAATGTACCCAAATCAAATGTGTTATCTGAACAAGTGACTTCTTCTGCAAATCCTATATCTATTAAGTCAAGTGTCCTCTTATTTATTTCTATATTGTTCTGTGCCTACTACTGAGGTATATCAAAAGAAAATGCTTTTAGCTGCTTTCCCAACATTAGAAAGGATAATTCTGAATAGTTTTAAAGAGTTTTGCAAACTCCTCTACAAATGGCATGCTTATGCTTCTGGACCAGCAATTTCCAACCTTTTTCATCTCATGACACATATAAACTACTAAAATTCTTTGGCATACCAAAAAATATACTTTTTGCTGATGTGACCAAAAAAAAAAAAAAAAAAGGTACTATAATTTTGATTCATTCACTCCAGATGGCTATTGTTGTGTTGGCTGCTGTCATTATTTTATTTGACGATCTAAGGGAAAAGAGGTCAGTGCTTCTGACTAAATAATCAGGTATTGCAGGTTTTAAAAATTCTTGCAGCTCACTGGTTGAAACTTGCTGCTCCAAACCAAGGCTACATCTTCACAAGGTCTATGCCTGAGGGTAGCTCTTAGGCCTAATCATAACAAAAACAACAATCTATACTAATAAAAGGGTAATATGCATATTGGTCAGGATGCCCTCACAGTAAACAGAAAGCTGCATGCTGCACGGGGCAATAAGGCCAGCAAGCGGAGGGCGGGGGGAGAGGGGGATGTTAGTGAGGGACGACCAAAGGACTGAACAGGCTGCATGGGGTGACCACGCCGGCAGGGGGAGCAGTTGGGGGCAACCAGGCTGGCAAGGGGGGGGGAA